AGGTGATGGCTTAAGTAGTTGGGAACTTGCCACCCATTTGAGAGCCCAAATTGTGTTTCTACCTTCTGGCTTTGGCCTGGCCTAGCCCCAGCTCTTGTGAGCATTTGAGGGTGAACAAGCAGATGGGAGTGAGATCTCTCTCTCTGTATCTCTGCCTTTCAATAAATAACCATTTAAAAATAAATTTTAAAAGTTAATTAGTAATTTGTAATGTATATGTATTGCTTTTATAATAAAAAATGATCTCTGTTTTTATTGTACTATGTGTAGACCATGTTGAGAAGACCATCATAGTGAGGAGTAAATATTCTACAGAATTCACAACAGATATTGTTACAATTAACTAATGGCTGTGCTTAGGAAGCTTGGTTGAGGCCAATCTGGGTACTGTGGGTAGTCAGGAAGTCCTATGTGGCAACAGACTCATTCATCTAACACACTGCACCCAGAGATTGCTGGCATTGCATAGAAAGTGAGGCCAAGGTCATCACAACAGAAAGAGGTTCTACAAAGAGCAACAACAGCCCAGACCCAGAGACAGATCTAACACAGACGCAGGATGCAGGTGACCCTCTCTGTAGGAACTGTCATCATCTAAACACAATGAGCACAAAAAACAAAAAAACAAAACAAAAAAAAAACCATTATTCTTTTGAAGGACCTGGTAAGCAGAACATAGAAATGGAAGACAGCAGTCCCATTATTTCTTCTTGACCATGGCCTTGTATAAGTCATTTGGCCTGTCTGTCCAGATGTTCCTCATTTTTGAAAAGATACTAAAATAGCTTCTACCAAAACCTATATACAAATCAGCCGTTCTAAGATCTTTGCCAATTCTTAGCCATAGTTCTTAAAGCAGACAGAATATAAATCATATAAAACCCTCAAATTTATGCTTATTTCCTAATAGTATAATAACAGCAGTAAAGGAAAGTATTTATTTCAATTTTTCATCCTTGAATTCCTTTAAACTAACAATTTAATCTTACTTTACTTGATCAATCAAATCCATATTCCCCACCCCCTCCTGAATTCTGTCAACCAACAGAACTTGAAACTCTCACACCAGCAGAAAACACAAAACTAGCCAAAAGCAGTTAAGAGAGGGGTAGAAAAGGGCCTGATTACAGTCCTTGGTGAATAGTGATGTGAATATGCAAATTTTTATCTGCTGTGGTATAACTTCAGTATATTATTCTGATAACTGAAGTAAGTACTGAACTTGCAAATCATGTCAGTTGGCACTGTTATCTCACAGGAAGCAGGTCCAGGCGGGTTCCTGTGCAACAAAGGCTAGCTCAGTGTTGCATATAGTTGTGATGCTGTAAGACACAATTACAGCCATCCCACAGAACGGAAAATTGGCTGCACTTAGATAAAAATTCCTATTTTTGAAGTGTTGAGGTTAAAAACTACATAATCTACAACTAGATTTAAGTTTAAGCTATTTATATTCTATTTGGGCTCTCTGCTCTGCTGGCTAAATCTCCATCTAAAATATTTTAAAACCCTGACTATAAAGTTGGAGAGCTAAGAATTTTAAGATAGCAACTGTCCCACAAATTCTATTCTTTGTAGCACCCTGTTCTTTTAGGAAGAATTCCAGTCATTTCTGTTTGATCCTGGAAGGATTTCTTCTATTCTCCTGTCTCTCTCACTGGTCTAGAACTGTAATATGCACATCAGTAACATCTTTTCTAACATCTGTTTAACTTTCTATTTTCCTTTAATTTCTATTTCTATTGTTTTCCAAATTTTTACCCAGGTCTAAAAAGAGAACTTCAATAACGACGTGATACCATGCCAAGTATTTAAGGTTTCAGATACGCAGTGTCATCCTTTGTTTCTCACTGCTTTCTTGTATTTCGGGGAGAATGGTTACAATAAATTTTAAAAACGCTGCAAATATTTTTGAATTGTCATTAAATTAAGACTAGGGAAAGAGAGTGACAGAGGAAGAGAGTGAAATTTGACTTTTGCTGATGAAGGTGATGAGAACGAGAGCCTCCAATAAAAGTCAAACACGAAAATAAGGCCAAATCCTTTGCTCCCTATCAACATGAAACTACCCAAGTCTGGAGTTAACTTTTTAACTTTATTCTGAGAGCTAACTTTTGTTTCAGCTGCACTGATTCTAAACAGACTAAAGTTAGAATGTTATTGCTCAAGCAGTGATCACTGCTACAGGCCCAGTTCAGGCTGAGGATTATTTTTCTTTTGGCCCCTATTTCCTGAATTCAAAGTAGTTTAAACTTAGGATCACACAGACATAAAAACGAGCGGCGTCTCTGGGATCCTTGTGCTAGTTTTCTCCTCTGATCCTTTCTCCACGTTTCCATTATCACCAAGGAGATGCTCTGGTTTAATGCAAGTCTTCCTGATAAAAGTTTACCCAAACAACTCAGTCCTAGGAGATATCAAAGGGGGTGGTGGTGGTGTTAATATCCAATTGGGCAAGAAGGGGAGCGATTTACTCTCATATTTCCTCAAGGGGATACAAACTGATATAACCTTATTAGAGAACAACGTGGCAATGATTATCAAAGCCTTAAGAACACTGTATTCTACTTTCAGGAATTTATTCAAGCAAAGTCACCTTTTCTCTTAGTTCCAGCTTCTTTCTTTCATTTTATTTAAAAGGAAAAAAGAAACAGATGGAGAGAGCTCTCCCATCTACTAGTTTACTCCCTAAAAGTCTGTAACAGCCAGGGCCAGGCCAGGACAAAGTCTGGAGCCTGGAACTCAGTCCAAGTCTCTCATGTGGGTGGCAGGGACCCAAGTACTTGGACCATCAGCTGCTGCCTCCCAGAGTGCACGTTAGCAGGAAGCTGGATTGGAAGCACAGTAACCAAGGCTTAAACCATGCTCTCCAACAAGCAATACAGGTGTCCCAAGCAGCAACACATCACATGCTGCATGTAGCATGTCACATGTCGTGTGTAACACATGTCAGTCAGCCTCTAGCTTTATCGCTGGATGTTATATTGATGGCTCATTTAACGGTTCTTTCAGTATTTTTACAATGGAATATAATAAACATATTTGTGTGGTAATCAAAACTAAAAAATCTTCAGTAAACATTAAACATATCCTGTCCTAAACAACTTTCATTCAAAAGTGTTAAATGTGAGGGACCACCTTTAACAATTAGGTTTTGTTTTGTTTTATAATTATTAAAAAACTCAGTACATATTAACAGTTGTTTTTCTAACATCTAGTGTTTGGAGATAAAATAAACAAGCCCATGCCCATTTTTGTGGCTGATACTTTCATGGGATGAGACAGAGATTCAGACCACAACGATGAGTGGTCCTGGGCTGTTCCTTCATGCTTCCACAGATCTAGAAGGCATAGATGCTCCTTCCAAGGACCGCTAGAATACCATTATGTGATGAGATATTCTTTTCCTGCATGTTACAGCAAAAGACACTATCTAAATTCTCCTGAATCACTGGGAACAGAAAGCAAGTTTCAATTTATTTTATTATTATTTTTTTTTTGTCAAACCATATGCCTTTTCTGAATCTATTTACAGCACTCTTTCAAACACATCTTTCAAGATCTTCTCTAAAGGGTCCACAGGGACTACATACAAAACCTTCTGGTCATTGTTTGCTAACTGCTGGGATGGTCTTAATCGAAGAAGAGCCAATATTTTCAGCTTGGGTTTTTGGAAAAGGTACTAAAATGTCTCCAAACTGACTTAAGAGAAACTGCTTAACAGAAGAGGAATTATTTCTGCTCTGCAATAAACTCATTAGGACTGACATAAGCTGTAACCACAGACTAAGAGAACCACATATTTTGAACACATTAGATCCCAAAGGCCACTGAAGTTTTGAAATACTGTCAGTGTCAGATGACAAAACCTGTTCAACTAAGACTCCAGCCTCAATATACTGTTTGACAATCTCCTCCCCTGTGAATATTCTTAGTATTTGGTAATTTCTCTATAAGGATTTCATTTTTATTACATTAGTTTTCCTGGAAAAGTTTTATTTGATGATTCAGGTAAAATTTTCTGAGGTAAAAGACTTCCTATCACCCCAGTAGACATTTTTCCCTCTAAGCAATCCTGACATGAGGCAAGTGAGTGAAGACATCCTTCTGTTAGGAGGCCAGTTTAGTTCGAGGTGCCACAAAAGTCAAAGTGTTTCTGTAGTTCAAACCAAACCAGACTTATCTTACCTCCCCGATTCAGGCAGAACTAATCCAAATGCTCAAACCAGGTCCAGAAGCACCTTGGGTTTTACTAGGGTCAGGTAAATCTCTTCTAATTTGGGAAGGGTCCAGTAAGCCTCAACTAAGGACAAATGGCACCTTGGTGAGTCCTGTATTTGCATGACTAAAATGGGGTTTTCTTCCTTTTCCAATTCTTGATTTGTTACACATAATACTAAAATCCTTTTCGCCAACAAAGCTTGATAAAAATGGTTTCCAAAGTTGACTCCACCTGCCCTAGTCCTATTGAATCCAAGTCTTTGGGGATAGGACCCTGAAAGCCTGCTGCCTTGTTTCTTTTCTTTTTTAAATCTCAATACTTTTACAAGTGCCCCTTATGGTCTGTACACATGCTGAAGTATGAGAATTTCTGCACTAGAACAATTCAAAGAGTCAATGAGGGGCAAGGGCCAGCGCTGTGGCATAGAAGGCTAAGCCTCCACCTACAGTACCGGTGTCCTATAGGGCTGCCAGTTTGAATCCCAGCTGCTCCACTTCCGATCCAGCTCCCTGCTACTGCACCTGGGAGGGCAGTAGAAGATGGCCCAAGTTCTTAGACCCCTGCACCCACACGGGAGACCCAGAAGAAGTTCCTGGATCTTGGCTTCAGCTTGGCTCAACTCTGGCCATTGCAACCACTTGTGGAGCGAACCAGCAGATGGAAGATTCTCGTTCCTTTTCTCTCTGTATCTCTGCCTTTCAAATAAGTGAATCTTTAAGAACAACAACAAAAGAGTGAATGAAAAGGACAAAAGAAATCCCAAGAGGAAGAGACTGGCAAGATTTGAATTTGAAAATTTAATACCATTGGGGAAACAATATTTTTAAAAAAAGTCAGAGAGGAGGAATCACGAACACCTTTCCTTCAAAAACTCCAACTCCTTCCTGTGTCATCTGCAGTTACGCTGGCTGCATCAGTGCGCTGATACTTTCTTCTACCTCTGACAGCTTCTTCAGGATTTGGTTGACCTTCACCTCATCAAATTCCAAACACAGAAATTCAGATTCCTGGAAAACATAAAAGGATGTTTTAGAGGGCACCCCTGAGGCATCCTGTCATGATCAAGTTCCAAAGGCTCAGGGTCCCAACTCAGCAAGCCTAGTTCAGACCTTTAATACCTAAGTGATATTTCACCCAGCAAAGCAAATACACACAATGCCTTAAACAAAACTGCTTTTTTTTTTTTTGATAATGTTCTATAAATGGTACAAGTATACATATGTCAGGTGCTCTCACTATGAGGCATGTGAGAAGCTGTTCCTGTCTGTTGTCTCATTTGACCCTATGATGACTTTTAAGTCAAGGAGTTAAGTACTGCTGTTTTATGGATGACAACCATGGGGCCCAGAAAGATTAAACTGTATCTAAAAAATAGAAAAAAACAGAGTCAGCTTGTGTTTGGCAGACTCCAAAGTCCATATCGTCTCTACAGCATCCTGTAGTATAATAATAAAAGAAGGATTCTGATTGGCTCTGAGATAGCCTCGGCATTGAGATAACTCAGAAGCAGTGGTTATGCCAAGAAGCTGTAACAAGTTGCTTGGGAACTATCAGATAATTGAAAGATAACCAGATCTTGAAACTGCAACAAACATTTTCTGGGGTTTTTCCAGTTGCTGCCAGCCCACCCTCCTTCCAGCACCCTCAAACACATTCCCTTTATTCACTGTTAGGACTGGTCAATCAATCCTAGGTTAGGTAGATACTGAAGAATAAGGTCTTTGAAGTACAGTGGTAGAAATTTCATGTTCATTGACTAGTAGGACGTGTTTTAAGAGATAAGGGCAAATTGTATATATCCAAGAGTGACTACATTCAAGATCCATAAAAACAAAATCAAGCAATTTTTTTAAAAAGATTTATTTATTTGAAAGAGAGAGGTCTTCCATCCACTGGTTTACTCTCCAAATGACCACAATGGCCAGAGATGAGCCAATCTGAAGCCAGGAGCCAAAAATTTCTTCTAGGTCTCCCATGCAGTGCAGGGACCCCAGGGTTTGGGCCATCCTCTGCTGCTTTCCCAGGACATAGCAGAGAACTGGATCAAAAGTGGAGTACCCAGGACTCGAACCGTCACCCAAATGGGATGCTAGTGCTATAGGCTGAGGCTTTAACCTGCTGTGCTACAGTGCCAGCCCCAAAATCAAGCAATTTGAAAGCAGTGTGAATCTTGAGATCATATAACCTAGTTGTCTTTTTTTCCAGGTAATGAAATTACATATCTAGCCATGTTAAATGACATGCCTAATATCCCTCTATTGATGGCAGATTCATCAGCTGTTTTCCTCTCTAAATATTGAAGGGAATCAGACTATGTCACTCCGAAACATTCTACTTTGGCATATGGATTATTTTGAGTTGAAGGCAATTGAGAACCAACAGATGGAGAAAGAAGTCTTCTTGCAGTATCCCTTATATGACTTAGAAGCAGAAAATTCTGGTAAATAAGGACAGTTATAAATCTCTTCTCTGGGGGAGTTTTCTAGCCATGAAAAATATGAAAAGTTGGCAACAAGAGGAGCCTACACAAATAAACCTTGTTAAAATAACCCTTATTTGCCATTTGTTTCCCCATATACTTACTTCGTTTGTCCTTAGAAGCCCAACCCCTTTATACACTGACTAGTCTCTGGGCCATAATTTATCCCTCTTTGTTAAAATGGCATATAATATTCCAAGGCTAACTGCCTCTTTGGGTCTTTACTTTTTGTTGTTGTTGTTGAAACTCCTGTGCATGTAATGTTAAAGACATCAACATGAATAAAATTCATTAACTTTTTCTTGTTTGTTTACACTTAATTTATAGGCATCACAGACATAACCTAAGATGGTAAAGGAAAACTTTTTCTTGCTCAACTATACCAGGGAATTTCCCACTCTCATCCCCAAGCGACCAGTAAAGAAAGATCAATAAGCATCTTCAGAAGGAAGGAGCCATTCTGCTATCACCTAAAAGGAATTTATTTTGAAAAAGTATCTTTGTTGTTGCTAAGCTGATTTACTAAGTCTATAATGAATGCACTGGACGTCCTAGGAGAAATCGGGGCAGAGAGAAAGGGGCCTCTCAGACAAAAGGCTTCCAAATGGAGGAAGGCAGATTCTTTTGCTGCTTAAAGGAACTCTGTCCTCAAACAACTGTTTAGAAACTTAAATTTTCATTGAGCCCAAAGTGATGGCCCAAGTACTTGAGATCCTGCCATCCATATGGGAGATCTGGATGGAGTTCTGGGTCCTGATCTCAGCATGGCCCACCCCTAGCTATTGCAGGCATTCAGGGAATGAACCACTAGACCCCCCCCCCCCAAAAAAAAAAAGTCTCTCGATCTCTCTCCCCTCTCTGTCACTCTGCCTATCAAATAAATTGGTTTTTTTTTTTTAAAGGACACATCTCAGATCAGAAAGTTTCTTGTTCTCCATTCCATTTTATCTAGATCTTTAGCTTGACTTTAAAATATTTTTTAATGTCCTTGAGCCTGGGCAAGTACATAGTTTTGTTTTTTTTTTTTTTTTTTTTTTTTTTAATAAAGGTTTTATTTATTTACTTAAAAGGCAGAGTTACAGAAAGAGACGCAGAGAGGGAGAGCATCCATCACCTGGGTCACTCTCCAAATGGCCACAATGCCCAGAGCTGACTAAAGCTGAAGGCAGAAGCCTGGAGCTCCATTTGGGTCTCTTAAGTGGGTGGCAGGGGCCCAGGTACTTGGGCCATCTTCTGCTGCTTTCTCAGGCATATAGGTAGGGAGCTGGATCAGAAGCAAAGCAACTGGGACTCCAAGTGGTGCTCACATGAGATGCTAGCATCACAGACTACAGTTTAACCACTGCACCACAACATCAACCCCAAGTGCACATGTCTTTTCAAAAGAAACATGGAGACTGGCACTGTGGTGCTGGCATCCCATATGGGCATCAGATTGTGCCCCAGCTGCTCCTCTTCCAATGCAACTCTCTGCTTATGGCCTGGGAAAGCAGTGGAGGATGGCCCAAATGCTTGGGCCCCTGCATCTGTGTGGGAGACCCAGAAGAAGCTCCTGGCTCCTGGCTTTGGATTGGCCCAGCTCTAGCAGTTGCGGCCATTTGGGGAGTGAACCAGCGGATGGAAGACCTTTCTCTCTATCTCTTCCTCTATTTGTAGCTCTACTTCTCAAATAAATAAAATCTTTAAAAAAATGAAATAAGGTTTACTTGCACAAGATAGAACAGTATTGAGATCATTAATGCCCTTGAAGTGGTTTTTGTAGGTGTGAAACAAATTGTGAGAATCTGAATTCGTTCCTCTTATTATAATGTTGAAATTAAGTCTATTTAATTTATTAAGTCATGTTTATTCCCTGATTTTATATACTTGTATCTATCCATAAACACTGTGATATTTGAAAAAAATATTTTTTAACAGTTGGCCTTGGAAACAATGGTCTAGAAACTAATAATTACCAACCTAAAGGGACTTTTTAAAAGTCCATGGAAGGGGCTGGCACTGTGACACAGCAGGTTAAAGCCCCAGCCTGAAGTGCCAACATCCCATATGGGCACCAGTTCAAGTCCCAGCTGTTCCACTTCTGATCCATCTCTCTGCTGTGTCCTGGGAAAGCAGCAGAAGATGGCCTAAGTCTTTGGACCCCTGCACCCACATGGGACACCTGGAAGAAGCTCCTGGTTCTGATGGATCAGCTCAGCTCCGCCGTTGCAGTCAATTGGAGAGTGAACCAGCGGATGGAAAACCTCTCTCTCTGTCTCTACCTCTCTCTGTAACTCTTTCAAATAAATAAAAATAAATTTTTTTAAAGAAAATAGAACTAAAAGATCAGTTTCTTTTGGTGCAAAAAACTGAAATGCATGTATCTGAGGAGGCTTTAAAAAGTTCATAAGAATGTATATTATGAAAAAACTACATGAATTTCAGGATTTTTTTCACTAAGATATTTATTTTGTGACTTGGCTGCTGCTCTTCCAATCCAGCTCTCTGCTATGGCCTGGGAAATAAGTAGAAGATGGCCCAAATGCTTGGGCCCCTATACTCATATGGGAGAACCGGAATATGCTCCTGGCTTCAGTCTGGCCCAGCCCTGGCTACTGCAGCCATTTGGGGAGTGAACCAGCAGACAGAAGACCTCTCTGTCTGTTCCTCTCTTTTGTCTGTAACTCTGCCTCTCAAATAAATAAATAAATCTTTAAAAAAAAAATCTGAAAACACTTGATATATTTTTTCAGTCATTTTCTTTATCTGGGCCTAACTTGTACTTTATGATCATAGGGAGTATAGCAGCATATGAAATTCAAGGGGTTAAATAACCACACCAAAATAAATAGAAAGCAAAGGCAAAATATTCAAAATTTTAACTTTTTAAGTGCAAACACTAGTCATGAAATCCTAGATAACCTTGAGAGGCTACTCTCTCCAAACCAAAAATAAACTAAGCCAGCTTTAACACTTCCAGAAGAGGCTATACTCCTAAGGAACTCCTGTATACCCCTAAGGAAGCTTCTACTTGTCAAGCCTAAATCTTTAATGCTTAAGCTCATTTTCTGGGGAGTTAGAGAGTATAACTGATTATTAGTCTATACAAAAATGAAGGCTGTTATTAAGTACTTGTTTGGTTTTTATCTATACACTAAATGACCTCTGTGTGTATCATGTCCACTAAATGACCTCCTTATCTAGGCCAATGAGCACACCCAAGTAATTTCAGTAAAATCATACTACAGTGACAAAATGCTAAAAATAGATAATAATAAAAAGATTTATGACTTATTAGACACTTAAATGAGGATGGCATTTTGTCTAGTGGTTAAGATGCCACTTGAGATGCCTGAGTCCCATATGGATGTGCCTAGCATTGAGTCCCAGCTCTGCTCCCAATTCCAGTTTCCTGCTGATGTGCATCCTGGTGAGTCAGCAGGTGACAGCTCAAGAAGTTGGCACCTGTCACCCACAAGGGAAACACAGATTGTGTTCCTGGCTCCTGGTTTCAGCCTGGCCCAGCCATGGATGTTGTGGGCATTTGGG